CACCCTTCCCTGGATCCTGGAACAAGCCACAGCCCAAGAGCCAAACCACGAAAGAGCACACACAGTTCCCTCCCCTGGGAGAGCAGAGAATGAACTGCACATGGTCTAAGCCATTGCTGAATCTCAGTACATAGCTGGGAGAACACATGCCAAAGGGTGAGCCTTAGCTAAGAATCTACACAGCAAAGCTCAGAACAGGTTCCACTGTCACTGCCAAAAAGCACAAAACAGCATCCCCTGTGATGAGGAACCCCCTCACCAAAAGAGATTCTGGATTACAGAGAATCAGCCTGCCCAGCTCACAAGCCACCTGCTCTGGAAGCATGTAATGTATGTTCTGTTCATGTAATGTATGAACGTCTCTTAAGGCAGGGAAGGATTGAGGGTTCATATTAAATACACAGTGTACATCCACTTACTGGCACCTTATACAGGCTAGAGGCAGTCTGGAAAACAAGAAGGCAGAATGTGGAATGGACAGGTTTTCAAAGATGACGTAGACAATAATTTCCTAACAGAGCAAACCAAATGTAAAGCTCCAGAGCTCAAATTTACTTAAAAAAATCCCGAGTCTAAAACGCTCTCAAAGTAAAACAGCTTGAGTCCTACTTAGCTGAAGAAGCCTGAAAGCTGAAAACTGGAGATAGTTTTACAAATTGCCTGAATGCAGTACAAGGATCAGCAAGAACTCACAAGCCCTGAAGAGATTGAGATGCACCCCAGCAAAGGTAGCAGACAGCAGACCATGGCTAAACCACTCATGGCACTGAACTGGGGATCTTGGGAGAAAATTACAAGCTCATCCCTGTAAAGGGCTGGTCATACAGCTTAGAGAGTGACTCCCGTGCAACCATTTATAAGCAGCAGGAGTGTGGAAACCCAGGCACTGGGAATATTTCTCTGTCTGCTCTGGGGTGCCCTGACCCCCAGGGCAGCACTGACTTTGACCCTCACTCATGGAGAAAGTTTCCTAAACTCCAGAATAGACCAGAATCCACAAAAGTGAGAAACAGATTCTAGAGAGCAGTGTAGGTGAATCACTTGGTGGGAAATTTAGGTTTTGGGATTTTGAGTATTTTGTGGATGGAAGCAAGATGGAGGGCACAGGGTGTTGTCCTGGGTTTCTTCTTCATGCTTCTTCTTTCTCCTTCTCCATGGGTTTGGGTGGCATTTTGTAATTGGGCAGAAAATTCCCCATTGCAGCTCTTTGGGATCAGTTATTGGGGTAAAAGGGAAAATAATCCAGGTGTCAGTTCTTAATTGGATAGTTTTTTCTTAGAAGACTTTGTAACAAGAGATTGTTGGCCATTTTGTGCCTTCTAATGAAAAGTTGCTGAACCCACAGTAATGAGACTGTTTTACTGATAAGAAATAATAAACACTTGAGTCCAAACATGAAATACCATCTCAAGTGCCTTCAATGCAGACCCAGAGAAACCCACAACTGGTATCCCCACACAGAATGTGTTTTTTCTGGTAGGGCTCAGAGAGCATTTCCAACAGGGTGTAACTGCTTTGCATGCTTATTGAAGAGGGGGACAAGGGCAGGAGCAGGGGGATTAAAAGGAAAAAAAATAAAAATCTGTTTACAGCATTGTGCTGCTTTTCAAATGATGTTTCCTTACCCGGCTCCAGTTTTAGGCACAACTACTGAGTTTCAGGCTAATGTAATACTGCTGCAAGAATTGCAGTGGAGAATCTGACTTCATGTGCTATGGCATATATTGTTGGTGGCTCTGCTACTGCATTTTACAAGGTCATTTTTCTTGGTGTGGGAACACTGTTATTCTTGGTGTGGAAGGCTTGCTATGGAAAAATTAGAAGTGAAGGGGATAAACTTCACGATGAAATATTTTCTCTCAGAATGAAAACACAGATTTTAGAGCATCGTAAAGTATTAAAAATGTCCTCCAAAATTTATGTTCAAGCCTTCCCTTGGTTTTAGAACTATGTAAAAAGATAAAAACATACCCAAGCTGCTTTTTTCCATCTCTTAATATAGCTTCATTTGCTCTTCTTCAGAAAAGAAAGTCAATAGTTCTTTATTTCATAAATATGCTCCAGAACAGCTTATGGATGATAATTAAATTAGACCTAGTAGAATTCTCAGCAGAAAAAAATCTCCCCCTTCCTCAGTTATCCATTTTTTTTTCCCATTTGGAAGAGATGGAAGGAAGGGAATAAAATCTGACTGAGAAACACAAGGCTGATTCCCTCTCATAACTCAAGATTGTGAGCTGTTTTACAACTCCAGCATGGGTTTCCCATTTTGTGCTCATTTGCCCTGCCACAGCCCCCTTCTAACAGCAGCAAGAGCAAGGAAAAAATAACTTGATAATTTTAGGATGGAAGGGGTTTTTTTCTATATTTCTTTCATCTCTCAGTCCAATTAATTGCAGGGGTTAACCCAACTGAACGACCAAAGGAAATCAAAACCTGTCCTACAAAATCCTTCCTTCATTTGAAGGACCAAGGACGGGAGAAAGAGAAGCTCTTCCTTCTCTCACTGAATCCGACTTCAAATGCTTACAAGTGTTTTAGGCTATTTAAATCTCCAACAGGATTTTAAGATTATGAAGGATTCTTCCTGAATTCATTTTATGTAAAAAGGACCCAATTCTACCTCATTTGTGCAAACAGACTGCCTAAGCCCTAATAGACCATATCCTCTCTTTGACAATTGCCAGGGACTTTTGATACAAATTTGCCATGTCAAAAGACACCTACAAACATCTTTGTTGCAAAGATTACTCTTTCCTGGATTTGCCACACTTCTTCAAGAGAAATTTCATCAAATGCAACACCCATCTACTCACTTCTCACAATCACTCCTCTCCACAGATGTACCAGGACAGAAAAACCCTGAGAGAAGTCTAAGTGCTCATACCAACAAGTCTGAATTTGTGCAGTATTTTCCACACCGATTCTCTCCCTGTGAGTGCAGTGCACCGGGATTTTGCATTTACTTCAGCACGTGCCATGATACAGCCCAAAACCTGCCAAAATCAGAAGACCCCAGTGCAAAATTTTCATTGAGCATCTGCCTGCTTAAGTGCAACTTTCTAAAGCCAGCAATAGAATCCCTGGAAGTTATAAAACCAGAAAATAGATAGACTTCCATCTGTTTAACCAATTGCTCTAATCAATATCCTTTCCCCTGGTAATGTTTTGTACAGACACTGTCTCTCAAGTACATAACTGCAGAATCAATGGAGTTGGGAAGTATGTAAGAATTTCAACTCTACAAATGGCAAAACATTATGAAAATATGAACTGCTAAAGCTATCACAGTGCTTAAAGGCGCAGAGTTTATTAAGGTAATCTGTAAAACATCACCGAACAGAAAAAATTCTTGAAGCCAGCAATCTACAGGTTTTCATGAGACAGCCAACTGCAATGATAATAATCCAAGATAATTATCTGAAGATGATTTTCCTCCTGTTTCACCCTAACCTTACAAGAGTGCTCTAAAAGGAGCTCCTCAGGGAAATGGCATCACCCAGAGTTCCCACTTGCCCAGATGTTTCTCTCATTATGTTACAAGCCTGTCAAGAAAAGGTAAATTCAGGGTTATTCTAATGATAGCAAACACCTCATAAAAAACCTCTCCAAATTTACTTTTCCAAGGAACATCATTTAAAAAGGCATTCCCAGTGCCCATGAGAAAAGAAAGCATCATTTATAAAACATTATTACCCGAAATCTTGCAGATATTAAAAAAAACACATCCTGGAATGTCAAGCCGGTTATAAAACTGCAGCGAGAGCATGGTGGGGCCTGACCCACAGTGCAGGGCTCAGCACTCCCCAGCAGGACTCCCACCAAGTCCAGCAGGAGGTTTTCTGAGTTAGGGGGCACCTGGCTCCAGGCTGTGGCTGGGATGTTGAGCCTGCAGCTCTGGGTTCCCTCCCGTGGCCAGTGTGTTCATTTTGTGGACCACCAGCTGGGGATCCCCTGCATGGAGTGACCAGTGCAGCCTGCACTCTCCTGACTCCTCCCTGGCTTTTATCCTCTGCTGGTGCTATGATTCTTACCCAGATGATGGATGGTTTACAGAAATTTATGGCGATAATAATTCTGACATTTTTTTGTCAGTTTATCCAATGACTTGGTAGTTGATTCTATTTTACGGCTTGGATGGAGGAGAAGAGAGCTGGCCAGGGCACATGGAACTGACCAGAGATTTACAAGCTTTGTCTGCGGGTGTTGGTGATGCTGCAGCTTTGATCACTGTCTCCAACCATTATACATGAATGGCAACATGTGATACTGAATAAAAAGAACGACCTGCAAGAATATCGAAACAGAACAAAAAATTGTCCTTCACCTCTGCCAGACATAATACACAGTGGAGTTTCATGGGAGAAGTCTTTCAAAAGCCTGGAATGGGCTAGCTGGGTCACAAGCGCTGTGCTTCACATCACAAGCACTTATAACCCTAAGTTTCTTGCCTATTTCAGGACTGAATCTTCTGAATCTTAATTGGACCGAAACTTCAAGCCTGTCTCTTGGTGCTTTCCAAGGAAAGCCATTCACTTAGTTCCAACACTTCCCGAGACCATACACCCATCAGTTCCCCTCTCACTCTGGGGAATCCTGTGCCCCACGAAGGGAGGATGCCCTGGGTGGGGCACGCCGTGCCCGACACGGCTGCTCCCATCCTTTGCCTGCCCCACCGGCTCCCCAGGTGCGCTGCCCGCCGTCCGCTGCGGGAACACGCGTGGGAGCCGCCCCGACGCCTCTGCCTTTGCCACCGCTGCCCCGACAGCCTAAAGCCAAGGAGGGCGGGGGACACCCCGTAAAAAAAGCCCCGGGGAAAGCCCTCGGGCGGGGGAGCCCTCGGGGCCCGGCCGGGCGGGGCGGCGTGAGGAGGAGGAGGAGGAGGAGGAGGAGGAGGCGGCGGACGGGGCAGGTGCACGGCGCCGGCTCCCTCAGCTCGGCCAGCCCCGCGCTGCCCCCGGGGGACGCGGGAGGGTGCGCGGGAGGCGGGCGGCACTCACCTGCCGCTGGCTGTGGTTGCCGGCAGCCGAGGGGGCGTGCGGCTCTCCTCCGCCGCCGCCGCGCAGCACGGTGATGTGCAAGGTGAGCAGGAGCAGCCCCAGCAGCAGCAGCAGCTCGGCCGCCAGCCGCACCATCCTCTTGAGCCGGGCGGCTTTAGGGCCCCGCGGCGGCGGCGGCGGGCGCGGAGGAGGCGGAGGAGGAGGAGGAGCCGCGGCGGCCGCCGCCGCCGGGGCCGCCACCGGAGCGGCCCCGGCCCCGGCCCCGGGAGCCGCAGGACGGGCGGCGGGGACCGCGCCGCTCTCGGCGTCGGCGGGGCGGGCGGCGGGCGCGGGGCAGCGGCGGCAGCAGCAGCAGCAGCAGCAGCAGCAGCAGCGGGGGCCGCCGCACCACGGCGGAGCCACGTCGGGGCGGGATGCGGCCAGAGTCCCGGCGCTGCCCGGCGGCGGGCGGCAGGTACCCGGGGCCGGCGGCGTCTCTGCGGGCAGCCCTGCAAGCCAGAGGCACCGCGGGCCGTCGGAAGGAGGGAGCGGGCGGCCGAACCCCCGCCGCCTCGGGGAGCCGCGGCCGGCGGAGAGCAGCGGCTTTCGGCGGCCGGCGGGGACACGCTGCGAGCACGGGGGGAGCCGGGAGTGCGTGTGCGACGGAGAGGGAGGAGGGAGGAGAGCGAGGCGGGGGGGGCCGGGGACGAGTCTCACATGGCGGGGAAGCCGGGACGCTCCGAGGGGAGGAGAGAGCTCGGGGCTATCGCCTCCCTCCGTGCGCGGGGATGGGGGTGGCCCCCGAACCAGCTTCCCCCGCCGCCGCCGCTGTGTCCTCGCCCGCCCCGCCGCTCCCCCCTCCCCTCCCGACGGCCGTCGAGGCGTCGCCCTGCCCTGCCCGGCCCTGCCCTGCCCTGCCCGGCCCGCGCTGCCCCGGCCCCTCGCCGTGCGGGGAGAACGGAGCGGGGCACGCCGCGACCCCCGCCGGCTCCCAGCTCCCCTCGAGCTGCGAGCTCCCCGGGGAAAAAGAGGGGCAGATTGCAGCTTCCCTCTCCCGTCCCCCTTCCTCTTCCTCCCCTGGCTCAGCCGTGGGAAATGGGATGGGGGGCAGATCTGGGTCGAGGGGATGCGAAAAGCTTCAGCTGCCCGCTGCCCTGCCGGGGAGCTGGATACCTGGCTCCATCTCTCCTCTCTCTTCCCTCCAGTGCCCTGGGGCTGGCAGGGGTAGCGCCGCACTCTCTCCTGCCACCGTGCGTGCGTGTTTGCGAGCGGCTGCCGCTCCTCCTGCCTGCTGCTGCTGCTGCTGCTGCTGCTGCTGCTTCCAGCCCCACTTTCTCGCCCCCTCGCTCTGTGTCGGGAGAGGTACGTGTCGGATGCTTTTATACTGCCCTGCCTCCTTCCCCTGCTCCCCCCCTTTTCCTTCGCCCTCTCTGCAGCTCCTGCTCCAGCCTGGCGTGTCCCCCCCCAGGCTGCTCCCCTCCTCCCCGTGCCGAGCTGCTCCTCTCCGTGCCCTGCTTTGCCAGGACACCCCACTGCTGCACCCGCACCCCTCCGCACACGCGGCCGCACCTTGCGTCCCCACTGCCATCCCATGGAGGGACACGTCCCTTTCAGCCGGTCTGTGCGTCCCTAGTGGGATTCCACCAGGGTTTGACACTCCTTACTCTTCCTTTTGGTTGCTGACCTGTGTCAGTACTGTGGAAAAACCTTTCCCTCTCAGATGGGAGGCCCTCAAATTTAAAAGTAACGTGGACTTGAGAGTATGTGAAAATGAGGGTTGCATTATCACTTGCTATAAGTCAGTGTCTCAGCGTCCAGTCTGAGGGAGCTGGGCTGCTTTGTGGGTGCTCAAGGTGCAGCTCAGTGTAACAAGAGCAAACACAGCTCAAATCAACTTGAAGCATAAATAAAGCCACCTAACAAAAAATGGGAGTTTTGGAATCTTTGTTGTCGTTCTTGCGCAATTGGGAGTGTTGTGTGTAAAAATGAAGATACGAACAATCTGTGAGTATGTGACAGCTGAGAGGCTGAATTGGTCTAAAATGTCTAAATTGGGGAAGAAGTATCCCCCAGTCTGAAACATTTTCATCTGGAGACCAGTGTCCTCAGCAGGGTTTCCTGCAAGGTAAAGGTGAGATGTTCTTCCAGTGTGCGGTGCCAGCTGGGATAAGGCACATCATGGGAGCCTTAGCTCGCACTGTGCCCTGGAAAAGTGGCACTTTTGGGGCATGAGGAGAATCAGAGCTCCCCAGAGGTTCCTTGCAGGTCTTGGAGCATCTGTAGGCTGTGGTCATGTGTGAGTCAGAATGATGTCCAGTGATAACCACTGTCAATGATTGCGCAGGAATCGGGCAAGAATATAGTTAATATGATTGCACTGGGCTATCATTAGAGATGTGACCAAAAGCCACAAACCCCAAACGTTCAGATTTAAGGATTTTTAAATCCACAAACATACTCCACGTTAGCACTGCAGTAGGCAATCAGCAATCATCAGCACCGATGATTGTGCAGGGCAGGGACTCCCATGAGTCTGCCCTGAGTGTGTCAGAGGTACAACTCCCACCCTGTGACAGCACTTGTTGAAAATTACCCAGTATGGCACCGATGCTCTTGGATCATCCAGAGCTATTCAATACTGCATAAAGCCATAACAGCCTGTGGGACTGTCACATGGCTTTTAAAAAATGTGGTGCCTTTTTTTTTTTTAACCCAAACATTCCTTGGGCTAATCAAGAAGATAAAAACACTGATTGTACTTTGGTTGTCATCGCTCGGCCTTGGCTCTCCTCCTGCCACCTTTGCTGCCATCCTGGTGGCAGTGAGCAGAAGCAGGGCAGCTACAGGAGGCAGGCTTGGCAGCCAAGAGGCACAAGTGTCCTCCAGGTTTCCCAAAGTCTGACCATACCTAGTGGCTGTTGAAGAATAGTGGAAACTTGGCACATGAGTTCTGCATTTCAGAGCTTCATAGCACCAGTCGACAGCCCTCAGAGCAAGGCTGAAGGCTCGTAATGCGAAACAGTCTGAGTGACAGCCTGGTTTAAAACACACATGGATCTACCCCAGCCAAGCTCTGGGTAATGCAAGCTCTCCCTTGCCTTATGAAACTGAACCCAAAGACATCTTTAATCCAGATGAGATGTGCTGGTGAGCATCTCCTCGTGGCACATCAACGCGCTGAGCTGTTGTTGTGCAAAGCGAGGCAGGGACACAGCAGGGCTGCTCCCAGCTGCAAGCGGGTGGCAGTGAGGAACCAAAGCCTCTTCCCACTGGAAAAAGTTGGTGTAAAAGTGGCACTTGGGAATGGCATTGCTGCCTGTGAGGCAGGAGTGGGCACACACATGCTCTGGAGATCCCCCTTTAAATTCACCAACACTCTTCAGTCAGCACATGACTTCATCAGTGAGTCCAGATGGCTAAATCGAGACCTGCGGGGGAGATGGATTTAAAAGCAGAGGGGAAAGTTCTCTTTTCCCAGCTGGGTGGACACTTGCTCAAGGAGCCCCCATTTAGTCCCTGGAAGATGAAGTTCCCCAGGAGGAGGACACCATAGCTAGCCTGAGGGGATGCTGCTCCTGGGATGTGGCTGTGGGCACGCCACAGGGAGCTGGATCAGCAAGTGGGTCTGGCAGTGGTGCTGGGATAAGAGAGGTGTGTTCCTGTGATGGCTCCCTGTAAAGGTTCACAGCTCACACCTCACCCCTCCATCTCCAGCTTTTACCTTCCATTTCTCTTCCCTCCAGTGATAAAGGCAGACTCAGCTCCTGTGTGCTCCCAGCTTCTTGCCAGTGCCAGGGAAAATAGCAAGAGCCACTGGGAACAGAGCCCAGGCTCTTTGATGAGCACCATAGTGCCCCGTCAGGTGGTGTAGCCCAGCCCAGGTGTGGCAGTCAGGAAGCTGTGGGAGGTCCTTGACACCCTGCCTCTCACACACCTCACATGTTCCTCCTTGTGCAGCTTCAAGAGTGAGTAGTGGCTGTCCACGTTGCAGCCTCCACCACAGGGTGAGGACTCTCTCCTGGGAGGTGTTTCAGGAGCCTGTTGGCTGCAGCTGTGACCCTTACACCAGCCTGTCAACAAAAATGTCACTGTACCACCTTCAGTGCTCCAAGCCAGCAAACTTTGTCCAGGGCTGAATTTGTCGTGTCCTTGCTGACATGTCCTGATGGGGATGCTCCTGTCTCCTGCTGTAGCCATCACAGGTTATCACCCCATGTACTGTCCACCACACTGCCTGGGGCCAGCCCCTCTGCATCACTGTGCAGGCACTCAACTCAGTGTTGAGTCCTGGAAACCAAAATATTGCCTGAGACACAGCACATTGCAGAGGCTGGGTGCTCCTAGGGACTGAAATGAACATTTTGCTTTGTTTCATTTAATGTACCTGGTCAAGTGTGAAAAATCCTCACTTTGGATGAGTGCCACCAGGTGACAACCTTCAAGGCCAACATGAAAATCACTGGATAAGAAGGGGAGAGAAAAAAAATCAGTATGATACAATATAAACCAACATAACTTTCTTTATATGCTTTATCTCAGAAGTGAGAAGGACCGCTGGGTTTTATGTCACAGTATCAAGACTTCCTATACTGAAGCAGTCCCAGCAGCTAAAAATTATTGGTATTTACCTGATTGTCCACTTTACCTCTTCACTGTCCACCTTGGCATTGCTCCAGGACTGTGAAGGCATCCTGTCTGTGAGATCTGACAGTTTTCAGAGAAGCATTGCTGCTCCTCAGCCTGCACCCACTCCCAGGATGCCGTCGTTTCATCTTTAAGCCTGGGGGTTGCTTTAAATTTATCAGGGATGAAAACCTGGCTCCACTGAAGTTGTTGGCAAAGCTCCCATTGACTTCAGAGGAGCCAGGATTTCACCCTAAGATGCTTTGTAGATTATTGGTGAATGGAAAGCATACGTCTGGCTTCTCCAGGGTTATTATTGTTGGTGGTGACCTCTGCTCTGGCAAGCATTGAGCAAGGCTGGGTTGAGACAGATGCTTAAAGCTTTCCCTACCTCTTCCCCTGCTTCCTCACAGGGGCTTTGCTTTATGGCTCATCATCTTGGATCCTGCTTATCAAGGAATACCTTCCCGTAGCCTGCCAGTGGAATTTAATGCCTGTTTGCCCACATTCCCCTTCCCCCAAGGCCAGCAGATCAGCAGATAGGAGACAGAATGGCTGATTAGCTTTCTAGCCCCAACCTCTTAGCTATAAGCTGCAAATGCACACACAAGTGTCTTCTCTCAAAAAAAAAAAAAAAAGAAAAAAAAAAAAAAAAAAAAAGAAAAAAAAAGGAAAGAAAAAAAGAATAACATTCCCTTGCAGGCAACCTAAGTCTTTCTGTGACTCATGGTTCCTTTATCTCAATAAATTACTACTTGAATAGTAACCACCCTCTTTTTAAAAGAGCTGATTAGCTTGGAGTTCTCAATTTTCCTGCTTCTCCTAGACTGGTGCTTTTCTTCCCACCTACATATTTTGCCACCAGCTGGGGTCAAGATTTCTGAGTTCTGCAGTGCCTGTGTGACAGGCTGGAAATTCAGCACTTTATTAAAACTTGAAGCCAAACCGGAAATGTATAACAAGTCTGGATTATGGAATATGGAAATGGAGAAAACAGAAACAACAGTCCAGTCCACTTTCCCAACAGCTAGGCTGGGTTTTTTTAATACCAAATTCTCTTTATTTTACACTCTGCCACATTTTCACTTTTCAATATGCTGCACATTTTTGTGCTGATGCACTGGAGCGTTTGCCAAGCTGTGGCAGTATGGGGCTGTGGGAACCAGCACGCCAGGCTGGGCTTTCCAGAAGTGCCCAAAGACTTTCAATTCTGCTGACTTTCATGAGAGCTTGCCACAAGGCAAATTTGCCTCTTTGGAGAAATACAGTGAAACCAGCAAATGCCTTTCCTCTGAAGAGAGTTTTAGCACTGCAGAAGTGCCTGGGTTGGTGCAGTGGAGCTGAGTGTTTCAAACAGAGTAAAGGCTCCCACTCTGGATTGATTTACCCTCATTCCTGGTGACCCATGTGACAGAGATGGCCCCCTGGCCCAGAGCAGGGAGGCAGCCCCCTGTTTTGGCAGCAGTGAGCCATTAGATTGGCTCACCCACTAACTTGACTCAGCCAAATTTATCACTAAATTCAAATTATTACATAAAATAAATCAGGCTGCAGCTCACC